TCTCTCTCTCTCTCTCTCTCTCTCTCTCTCTCTCTCTCTCTCTCTCTCTCTGTCTGTTAAGGTTATGACACATATTTCCTACTCTGATTGCACTGTCTGCATGGCAGGTCAACACACTTTCATCTCTCTGCTTTACACGTTGCATTGTCTGTCATTTCTTTTGTATGATCATTTTTGTCTTTTTTTCCCCTACTCTCATTACAATTGTCTCTTGCCACCATCAAAAAAAAGAACACCCTGTCTATACTTTACTTGAGTCTTCATAATATTATTACGATGTTTTCACCGGTCTTGTCGTAGAGTGTAATATTTTTTTGCTTTTTTGTTTACGGACCTTACTGACTGAGTTGGATAAGATTAGATATCATTCTACTCATGTGAAGTGCATAATTATGATCTGTTGGTAATGAGGAGTCAGGTAAATGTAGTTCCTCTTGGACATGACTGTCTTTGCATAACTTTTTCCCCTCTTAGTCTTAACAAGTTATTTGGTTAACTTTCGGCATCAGTAGTCTAGTAGTTAGGCAGCCAGACTCATAATTGTGAAGTGGTGGATTTGGGGGTTTGAGGCTCAGTTCGGTCTGATGATGTGTCCCTGGGAAAGGCATCTTACACAAATTTTCCCATTTGGCTCGATCCTATCAGAGATGGATGTTAAATTCAGAGGTCCTGCCTCTAAAATAACTTTACAATGTTGTAAGCAGCGTTTAGCCTATACGAGTTTATATTTTTTGTTTTTGTTTTACTATGGAATAAAGTGAAACAGGTGTGTATCGCCTCTCCTGTCTCCTGGGTATTACCTTTCCTCTGTGTATCACCTCTCCTATCCTCTGTATATCACCTGTCCCATCTTGTGGGTATCACCTCTCGTGTCCTCTGTGTATCCCCTCTCATGTCCTCTATGTATCACCTCTCCCATGCTGTATGTATCACCTCTCCCATCTTGTGGGTACCACCTCACTTGTCCCCTGTGTGTACCACCTCTCCCGTCCTGTGTGTATCACCTCTCTGGGTATCACTTCCCCTTTGGGTATCACCTCCCTTCTGGGTATCACCTCCCCTCTGGGTATCACCTCTCTTGGTATCACCTCCTCTCTGGGTATCACCTCCCCTTTGGGTATCACCTCTCTGAGTATCACCTCTCCCGTCCCGTGTGCCCACACAGAACCTCCAGGACACCAACCAGTACGTGAAGAGTGAGCTGGACTCCCTGGAGCACGAGCAGCTGCAGATCGACACGGAGGCCTCGCACCTGGAGGCCCGCCTCCGCAAGGTCATGGAGAAAGGTCAGTACGGTCAAGGCTCTTGTTTCCAGTTGGTTTTTTTCTCCGTTGTCTTTTACTAAGTTTTTTTTTCTTCGGTTGTCTTACTTTGATGACTAAGTTTTTTTTTTTGGTTGTCTTACTTTTACTAAGTTGTCTTACTTTGACTAAGTTGTCTTACTTTTACTAAGTTGTCTTACTTTTACTAAGTTGTCTTACTTTTACTAAGTTGTCTTACTTTTACTAAGTTGTCTTACTTTTACTAATTTGTCTTACTTTTACTAAGTTGTCTTACTTTTACTAAGTTGTCTTACTTTGACTAAGTTGTCTTACTTTTACTAATTTGTCTTACTTTTACTAAGTTGTCTTACTTTTACTAATTTGTCTTACTTTTACTAAGTTGTCTTACTTTTACTAAGTTGTCTTACTTTGACTAAGTTTTTTAAAATTTTGGTTGTCTTACTTTTACTAAGTTGTCTTACTTTTACTAAGTTGTCTTACTTTTACTAATTTGTCTTACTTTTACTAAGTTGTCTTACTTTTACTAAGTTGTCTTACTTTGACTAAGTTGTCTTACTTTTACTAAGTTGTCTTACTTTTACTAAGTTGTTTTATTTTGGTTGTCTTACTTTTACTAATTTTTCTTACTTTTACAAAGTTGTTTTTTTTTAGTTTTCTTTTTCAGTTGTTTCATACCTAAGGGTAAAACAATCCATGGGTGGTTGGCAGATGCTCTTGTGTGGTTTGCTCATTTGGGCTCTGTTTCAGTTGTTTTGTACAGGCCAAAGAATAAAAACCCTAGGTGGTTGGTGGGTATGTGGTTTGCTCTTTCTTTCCTGTCAAACATCTATCGTTCTTGCCCCCGGGGCAGTGCCACTGACTGAAGTGTCTTTAGGCCATTCCCAAAGGGGGGACATTTCTCATTCAAGACTCATGTCACGCTCATAACTGTACCTGATCTACAACAGGGAACTGCTGCTTTTTCTTTCCTGATCCTTACTATTGTCATTTTCCTCTACTTCTTTTGTATGTTTGTCACTCTCTTGTGACCTGCTATTTTGGGGTGCCTTGATAGTCGAAGCAGACCTTGTGCTGTTGAAGCTAGAGAGGTGAGCAGTCTAAGTCTGATTCCCTGTAAAGACTTCTCTGTTGACACCCACCCCTTGGCGCTCATATGACCTTACGCAGTTGCGAGCGCCGTAAAACCCTCTACTATTAAAAAAAAATTGTCTTCCCTCCTTCATTTCTTTGCATGTAACTCGTTACTCTCTGGCAACACCTCTTATCTTGGGCACTAATATGACCTTGTTGGGTTGCAAACTCTTACAGCAACTAAACAAAAAGTGTAAAAACCCCTGAGCTTCAGAACTGATTAAGACAATGAAAGCATTATACCATTGGGAGATAGTATACCCCTTGTAACCGGCGTCTGTGGTGAAGCAGTTAGTCTCTTTGCCATCATGCGCAGGAGACTGGAGTTCTGTTGCAGAATGGGACGGATTTTTATTGAGTATCTTGGTCTTTCTGCCTGGATTTTGTATCCCTCTCAGCACAGATTAGCCCTGACAGGCAGGGTCAGAAGTCAGCCTCTTAATAAATTATCTAAATTGTGTTGATGGGGATGTAAAATCATCTAAAAAAGTAAAGTTGTTTCCGCATCCGATCTGCGCATTGGGGATTGCCTTGTTTGTGAGACAACTTCCTAGGACTTCGGCATATTGTGGTAGGGTGGCCAGTTCCTTTCTATGCCGCCTCTATTTCTCCAACTCAAAGTCAAGTACCCATTACTGCTGGGTGGGCAGGAGGAGGGTGAAAAAAAATCCTTGTCCGCACCGAGGCTGGAACCCGAACTTTCCGTTTCGGAGACGAGTGCACTAACTGCTCCACCACCGCACCCTCGTAAAAACGTGTAAGTAAAAAATTTTTAAAAATATTTTCCAGGCAAGAACAAGAACCTGGAGGAGAGGCTGATGAAGGAGTGGTTCCAGCTGGTGAACAAGAAGAACGCTCTGATCCGTCGGCAGATGCAGCTCAACATTCTGTGAGTACAAACACTGGTGTTTTCTCTCTCTCTCTCTCTCTCTCTCTCTCTCTCTCTCTCTCTCTCTCTCTCTCTCTCTCTCTCTCTCTCTCTCTCTCTCTCTCCCTCCCTCCCTCCCTCCCTCCCTCCCTCCCTCCCTCCCTCCCTCCCTCTCTCTCTCCCTCCCTCCCTCCCTCCCTCCCTCCCTCCCTCCCTCTCTCCCTCCCTCTCTCTCTCTCTCTCTCTCTCTCTCTCTCTCTCTCTCTCTCTCTCTCTCTATGTTGGTTGTTGGCAGGTGCTCTGGTGGTTGGCCCCTTCTTTCCTATCAAACATGTATTCTCCTTATCTTTCCCTTTTCTTTTCTTTTGTAAGTTACTTTATTGTAGCGTTAATCTTCGACACTTATTATAATATGATCTAATTGTGCTGCTCGTGTGGTAAAACTGTTATCACTACTAAAACTTTTGGCTTCACCTCATCATCAGAATGCAGATGCGACTGCTTTCTATTGTTGCTTATCCCCAAATCCTATGGGTTCCTTTGAACTTGTTTCGATGTGGGTGGTTGGCTGGTGCTCTTGTGTTGTTTGCTCCTTCTTTCCTGTCAAGCACATATCATCCTTATCTCGATTCCTTTTTTTTCTTTTTCTTTTTTTTTCTGTTTGTTACTCTCTTGCAATACCTTTGATCTTTGGCACTTAAATGATCTAACTGCGGTGTTGCAAGTGCCATAGAACTCAAACGAAAACCAAATATTGTTACGAGATTAGAAACCATACGTGATATAAAGTGAAAGGTGTCGTTGATGATGATGATTATGTTGATGATGATGTTGTTGTTATTATATTATGATCAGTAGAGATATTTGTATAGATATTTGCTCCTTGTACATGTTTGTTGCATCTTCAGGTGAGTGTTTAGCAGGTGCTCTGGTGTGGTTAGACTCTTCTTTCCTATCAAACGTCTATCGTCCTTATCTCTCCTATATTTCTTTGTATACTAGATTTCAGTAACACCTCTAGTCTTCGGCACTTTAAGATTTGTTTGTGTTGCAAGTGTTGTAATATTCTTACTTAAACTAAAAACGAAGTGCCCTTAGAACGTCGAATATGATGTGTGGGAAACAAGACCTCCCTCATTTTTCAGTATTTTGAAGTCAAATCATCAAGCTGTTCAGTTTCAATTCAATTCCCAACTGGGGAGAATTTTTATCCAGTATCTCAGTCTTTTTGCTGGATGTTGTGTCTCTCCCAGCCCTGGTTGGCCCTGACAGACAGGGTCGAAGCCCACTCAGCCACTGCCTAAAACTATCTAAATTGTGTTGATGGGGATGTGAAAAGCACCTGCATCAAAAACATTTAAAAAATAGTAAGCAGTTTAGGCAGTCGTTCTGTGTTCCCGGCTGACATGGTATAATATACAACACAGCACAATTTTGGAAAAATATAAGAAACAAAATAAATCGGTTGGTAATACTTTTATTGTTCTCTGAAATGCAAGCACAAGAGACAGCTGAAACACATCTTGACAAAGGAATTCACTGGAAGCAAACACATTGTGAATGATTTTACTACAAGGGACTGCAAATTGCGTTCAGTTTTACCCAAGCAAGTGGATCTTTAGACTATATTGAAAGAAAAGCCGGCCTGGTCCTTTCTATTTCCGACGGCGTTCATATGACCTTATGCGGTTGCGAGCACCGTAAAACCTCTACTAAAACTAAAAAAACTATTTCCGAGGGCAGACTCCGCGCTCGAGCGGTTCAAATACAAGGGGGGACAACTAAGACATACCTTTCTTGTAGCACAACTTATTACTGAGTTGTTTCCCGTAGACCGCGAGTCGAAGGCGCATACTGTCCTGTGAATAATTATTATCAGCAGAGACTGTTTTTTAGTAACACTATGTGGGTGGTTGGCGGGTGCTCTTCTGTGGTTTGCTTCTTCTTTCCTTTCAAACATCTGTCGTCCTTATCTCCCCTCTTTCTTTTTTGTGTTTGTTGCTCTCTTGTAACACTTCTAATCTTCGGCACTTATATGACCTTATCGTGTTGCAAGTGCCGTAAAACTCTTACTAAAACTAAAACTAAGTAACACTATGAAACTCTGATGTTCTTCAGGATGCCCGCAAATGGGCGCGACGAGTGTATGACTGAGTCTATTTCTATGGTTGATGTTGGTGCGCGCGCAACGTGTGCGAGTGTGTGTGTGTGTGTGTTTGTGTGTGTGTGTGTGTGTTTGTGTGTGTGTGTGTGTGTTTGTGTGTGTGTGTGTGTGTTTGTGTGTG